AGCATTATGCCACAAGTGTTCAGGATGGCACTTCCATGGGGTGCTGGGCTGACCCCACTCACCCATTTCCCAGTAACGTAATACTCACTCAACCTGTCACCAAAACCAATTTTTTTCTTTTTTATCTTTAAATCTGCCTGCCAGGGATCCGGTATCAGCACCCTTATCCGATGACTGTGCATCACCACCCCTAAGCTGATCTGCCCAGGCACTTTGGCCTCCTCAAGCTTAACCGTGCTCACTCTGCCACCTCAAAACTTACCTTCCCACGTGCTCTCGCAACACGTTCAGGGCTGCATCAGCCTGGGAAGTGCCAGGGGGTAGAGGCCAAGTATTAACGAGCCACTTCCCTAAACCCCCTCCAGCATCTGCAGGCTGTTCTAGCCCCAGGGAATGTGGGCCAGCCCTGCTCCGGGCCCTCTGCCAGCAGGACTGGGGCAAACTGCTGTTGTGCTGCAAAGAGGCTCTTATATCAGAAAGGATATAGGCAGGGCTGGCATCATATGCTCCCTGCTGCCCAGCGGAGCCAGCTCCCCCTTGCTCCTCCTTCTCCCTGACACCCAGCGCAGGAGCTGGCAGAGCTGCCCTGTGTACAAGGAATACATCATTAGGGTTTAATCCAGGACAGCAGAGGTAGCACCGGCATCTTGTAAGCAAGACGAGGTCCTGCACATAAATACAGAGCTGTAAGTCTGCCCCAAGCCTGCCAGCAGCTCCTTATCCCCTGGGATACATTTCCAGACCTTCAGCAGTGAAGACATTTGCCCTTCGAGGTGGCCTTGGACTACTGGAACTGAACTGCAGCAGATGCACTTCTTGCATTGCGCTGGACACCCTGCCCAGTGCTACTATCCTTAAAAAAAATCCCCCTGTGCATGCCCATCCACTAAAAAAATCCCACCCAAACCTGTGGCAACTGTGGCTGGCTGCCAGTTATTTTCCTTGGCTTTTTTCACAGCCCAAGCTAGGCTATTCCGGGTAGCTTGTTTATCCTCTACTAGCCAAAATTCACTCCTACCAGAGGTAAATTTTGGTCCTTAAATAGGTCATTTTTGCACCCACCTGAAACTTGTTTGCAGGCAGGAGGTGACCAAACCCCATCTGCACGCAATGCCCACCCCTCAGACTTCTCCAGGCTCTGGAACAGTCCTTCAAGTTGCTGCCGCGAAGGTCAGCCAGCCTGTGGGCCAGCCCACTGGAAACGAGGCACGGGACAAAAAAAAACCTCAAACCCCTATACTTTCTCTGTCTTACCATGAATTAGATTAAAACTCCAGCAGCAGCCAGGACATGAACTGCACATTGCATTTTGCACATGGCACTGAAAGCTGAAGACAGCTGACCGCCACCACAAGAAAAGTCCTGCTTCCTCAAAGGACTACTCAGTTTCCCACCGGTTTGGCGCTGAAGAGTAGAGAGGAGAAAAGGGCTGAAAATATTCTTTATCCCTGTTCATCTTTCTCTGTGACCAGGAGGCTAATGCAAATGACAGCCCAGCCACACGTCACTAGGCACATCTTACATCTTCTCCCAGCCTTCTCTTGCAGTGTCCTTTGATCCCTTCTAATTATTTTAAGTTTTTCCACGTACCTTACAGCCAACTCTTTCACCCCACATTTCAGCATTCCCCTGGCCTTTGGCAATGGCTGGGCTTCACGCCTTGGCTTTGGGTGGGATCCTTTCAAGTATATCCCAGCCCCATGCATTAGTGCTTTAGCCCATTCGTTTAATTAGCCCATCAATTAACCATTGTCTGAGCTTCACTACTTTTAAATTGCTCTCTCCTCTGCCCATTATGGCTTGGTCTCCCTTTTTGCCAGCTTCAGCCCCAAACCACGCGTCACTCTATATCCTGGCCAACGGTGCACATTTAAACCAGGCCTGAAAATACCTCCTGTCATAAAAAATCGTGGAAGGTGTCACTTGCGAGCCGCGTTCCATCCTGCTAGAAACGGGAGCATGCTGCCTTCTGCAAGAGAGGAGCCATCGCCCTTCGGGAGCTCAGGGGCTGGACAGGAGGGAGACTGTGGGCTCTAATGATAAATCCATTTCCACCCCACCTCCGCTCTCCACACCTGAATCCCCACTGCTGCCTATACCCAACCTCCTGCCCTTCCTCCTCCTCCCCTCCCCCCGGGGGCAGCAGCAAGCGTATTTTAATGCTTTAACGAGGCCCATGGCAGCAGGGCGCTGGTGGGGACCTGCGAAACGCCATTGCTGCCCGTGTGGCGAAGCTGGAAGCTGAGCCCTCCCTGCTATGGTCTCCATGAGGCGCTTCTTCCTTTCCTCCATGCCTCCAGTCTGTTTTCACGGCTTCCCTAAGTAAGGATATGTGCACCTCACCCCGTAACTAACCTTTTGTTTCTTTTAATGAGCAGGCACCTTGTAGCAACCCCCCCTTATCACCACCACCATTGCTAGAAGCACTGGGAGAGCCCGTCTTGCTGGGACCGGGCCAAGCACCCCTGCAGCTGACACCCACTCACGTTCCCCCAGCCCTGGGGCTCCCCTGACACAGGGTGAGAGCTGCTGTGGGGCTCAGGGGCTGTCCCCGCATCCCTCACCTAGACACAGGGCTGGCTGCACCCCAGGGCCCGTAACCTCCCACAGCCTGGGCTCTGCCCCAGATGCCGGGCCCAGGCCGCTCTCCCACTCCACCTGCCCTGTTCCCTAGCTTTCCGCGTAGGTCCCAGCACCAACAAGGAAATCTCCCCTCTGCTTCTCTCAA